CAACTGTGAATTTAATTGTCATCGATCAGTGTCAGGAATTCATCTGAATGCGTATTTAAATCTCGAACCGATGAATCAGGATATTTCTCCCTCGAAAAGGCCCACGGATTTCCGGGCGTTTAGAGTATAAAGAGATGCGGTAGATCGCTAAAGAATACTCGTACCTACATTTTCAGGGGAGGCATTTTTTTTTTTACGAGAGGACTGCACCCAACAATTGACTCGCTTCTGTCATTCTCCAGAGGAAGCCCAACTATTTTCAAAACGTGTGTCATCGATTTTTTTTTCTCCAACTATCCTATTTTTTTCCCTCTTTTTTATTCTCCCCCGATTTGTGTCGTTACTTGAAGCATTGTGCGTCTCGTTGTGCGTCCTATAGTGAACACCAGTGCATTAAAATATATTCTTTAATGGGCCCCGATTTCCATTGTACCTCAGGCCATTTAAGTCCCAATCTGCAGCCGTTCGTGGAATTCCAAAGTTCCGCCGTTTCGCCAAATGAACAAATAAATTCAAGTTTAATAACTTAGGGGGTGAAATGGGCGGAATGTTAGTATTATCGCTCAAGTATCTCTCCAACCAGTAAACAGAAATGATGAATACTTTTTCGAATAATTATTCTCATCCAAATTAGTAGGATTGACGGAGAAAAATAAAAATTGACGAAAACTATTTATTGTGGCAATTGTAATTGTTAAGATTCATTCATCTTTTTTTTATATATTTTGTTAGGAAGCGAATATTTGAGCAGGAAGTCTTGAGGGATTGCGGAGCCGATGGTATCGAATGTCGGGAGTGGGTCAAGGTGGACACAAAAACGTTAAAAAAAATCGAGGGATGGATGAAGATGAAGGAAAAGAATGTGAAAAAAAGAAAAAAGAGAGGTTTCAAAAGTGGGGAGAATTAACGCGTGCCACGAGGGGTATTTTTCTCTCTCCCTTGAGAGATATCATGGGCTAGGGCTAGGGCTAGGGCCTAGGGTGCACACACGCAGGCGCTCTTCATTGCTCCGCCCTATT